TATCCCTGCAAAGCATCTTTCCAAAATCAAATGGAGTGTGGCATTGTCTTGAGTGAGGAAAGTTATTGTACACATTTGAACAATACCATAAATAAAAAGAAACCAGGAAAAGTTGTGAAGGAGAAAAAAGCATTCTCCTGATCTCTAAAACATGGTTAGGGAAAATGATGGCTAAGCCAGGCTTTTCCTGATATGGTTTTGGAAGATGGGAATTGTAATCCAGTGCATCCCCAGAAGATACCAGATCTTATAGGGAAGGCTACCTTAAACCATGTATGAATTCTTTCAGAGACTTGTCAAAGATAAAGGAAACATTGTCAAAGCAATTTATTTTTCAAGAGTTGATAAATCAAAGTCAGCGGTATCATTTTGTTGAAAGATTCTCTTTGTATAAAGAGAGGGAATTGCTACCTTGTTCCTAAAATGAGTTACCTTTTATCAAAGAAATATAAATAAGGAGTCTCCCCCTCAAGAATAAAAATTTCCTCTAGTTGCAATAAAATACTTTCTATTTTCTATATATCTTTATATTACAGTCTCTTACAAAAATAGCTTTAAATAACTAGAAAATAAATTTTGTAAAACTCACACAATTGTTGTATGTCAGTTTTCAAGCAAAGTTTGAAATTTCAGGATGAAAGAAAATTACACAAATGGTTCTCTGACAATTGATGTATATTTTAGAAAGCTTTGAAATGGATTCTTTGTGTGACTATCCAGATCGTTTATTTAGATTTTTGTTTTCTTTCCAAAGACATTGCTTTGGAAGCAAAAGAAAATCTACTGATGAGGTTTAGGGGAACATATTGGAGGATAATAAATTCTTGGAGAAGAAAAATGACAGATTATTACAGGCTTTATTAAGCTCTAATAACATGAAATGCCAAAACTTAACAAAAATGACCATAAAAAGTTTCCTGTGTATACTCACAACAATATTCTAAAAGGGTATAATTTTATAGCCTAGTCAACATTTTTGTGGCCATATAAGGATGAGGAGAAAGGTTGACTTTGTTTCATTTGGTTTCATTTTTGCCCCAAAATTTGCTATAAAAGATAGCCAGAAGGCTAAGTGCTGGTCTGTTTTTACCTTCTTCTCTAACTCAGCTATTGCTCTGCTCTACCTTTCTCTTATTTTATGTTTTTTTATGGGCAGATGAACACTCAGAGGTATGAAGCATGTGGGAAAATGCAAAAAAAAAATAAAAAATCAGGCAAAAAACATATCTCTCTATGTTCCCTATAGATTTTTGTTTTTCTCCCAAATAAAAGCATACTAGACAGATGGCTGAATAGCTTTTGCTTGAACACATCCAAAGGAATAGAGGTGAGAGGCAAATGATGCCACTGAAAGTTGGGATTTGTAGGGGAGTTTGTTCAAGGAAAGATAAAACTGTATCCTCCTAAACCAAAATGGGACATCTGGAGAGCAAGTCCAAACTGTATGCATTAAAATTTCCTTCAAATCTTTAACTTATCCAACATGAAATGCTTAAATACCATTTTTGAGTATCTACTGCATTGTACAATAATCACGAAAAACAGTTTTTGATAAAGTAATTGAGTGGGAGGCCACTGATTTGATAAAGCATCTCCTTATTCCAAAATGCTGGAATGTTCTCAGTATTTATGTCAGTAACTCTTCATCAATCTATATATATAAAAGCGAAATACCACTCACGCATCATCACAAAATGTACAGAACCATAAAGTCTACAAACTTGAAATTTGGCACGTATGTTCCTCTAGGCTTCTAGGTGTTCACTAAGAAAGGATTTTTTTGAAATGACCACCAGAGCATTAGTATTTCCTATGTTACTATTAATATGCTCTGATGCTAAGGAGTTCTACTCCCCCTCCCCACCTGAAAATAAATCTGTTCCAAATGCAAAACACAAGCACAGGAGAGGAGTTTCAGTTTCAGTTTCACAGCACCAAGCAGCTTTAGTACAGAAGAGTTGAGCTAAGCCACACCCAGGCTCCTTGCTGCCTCCTTCTTGCTCACACAGCAAGTACTCTTTCAGTTTCCAAATAGCCCACAACTCTCTCACACACTGACAGGATGCTAGCCAGATAAATACTGATGAATGCTGGTAGGCAGAGGCAGAATTTTCTCTCCTTATTTTCCTCCCCAAAACCTAAGCCCAACCACATAATTTCATAGCGAAGCACGGGTATCGAGCTAGGTGTCTATATAACAGAGCTGGAGACTTAGGCTCTTTTGAGATATTTTTCTGGGTCCTTTTTCTAGTGATTTCAGTATTTTAGGTTGTTCTGATAGCATGTTAGGGTTTGGACAGGCAATAGCAAAGGCTTTAATAAAACTCAAATTCATCTCCATATCAATTAGTCACAATTTTCAATATTTCATTCTTTCATGCCCCCCCCCCCACCAAAAAAACCCCTCTCTTGGTTCAACAATATGCAAAAATTAAGATGGGATTCCCAGAGAGTGCTAAAGTAGAGAAATCAAACATATATGTTCTGAATCTAAAATGATAACTAAAATGATATCAAAAAGAAAATGTAGAAAGTTCTGAATTACAGTATATCAATTTCCCGATTACCAGCATTTTTTCAGAAGAAATATTTTTGTTTTCGATCAAAAATAGGTTAAAAAAAAACAAGATGTCCATTTTCTGTGACATTTATTAATGTTTAAAATGAGAAAAACTTAAACCTATGGGCAAACTGACCAATTTTGTTTGGCTTCTAGTCTTCTAGTATCACTATCATAGTAAATTATCAGGCTGATATGTCTAGTACCAGATAATTAAAGTAAATGAGTTCAACCTTTCATTGTTCAAACTTTATTACAGGATTGTAACTCCAATGCATAATGTAACATTCATTTGCACACATAATTGTTACAGCATGTTAATCCCCTAACCTGCCTTGTATTTGGCAGAAAATACTGGATGATTGCCTATGCAACGACACTGCTAATGAAACTGTTTTGTTCATCCTGATGGCTAATTTATTGGAGGTTTGTTTTTGTTTGGTGAATTATTTAAAGGGCAACTTATTTCCATATTGCTCCTGTTTCTCTCTTGATTCATTTTGCATTTATAATTTATCGTGGGAGCCAAAGAGCATTCAAACATCCCATAAGGTGATAATACAACTTGATCCTGCTAAGTTTTTTTCCTAATTAGTTGGTTGTTTATATTTCTCAAAGGGAGCAAAGTAAGAAGGATCTATTCAGTGAAAAGCATAAAGTTGTAAAATATGGATAAAATTGATTTCAGCATATTGATTTGATTATGCTGAAGAATATCAGCATTATGGACTTTCCGCTAAAACTTTATTTTAATGTTTTTAAATATTAATTATATTCAAATATGCTATATATGGCTGAACGAAAAAAACACTAAAACTGTTCCTTAATGCAATATTTTTGTCTTTTGTGTCTCAGAAAGGGAAAATAGGATTTGAAAATTACGTCTACAAGAGTTCCAATCTTAAAAATTGGATAATGTTTTTTTAATGTCAATGTTTATGAACAAAGGACATTGCATTGTACATCCATTGTTATTCATGCTTCCTTGGAAATATTTCCAATACAGTGGTATTTACTTCTAAGGAAATACAAGGTGTAATACAAGGTGACTTGAAAAGGAATTTAGAACCTCATCAAATTCAATCGCTATGGAACAGAGAGCAATTCAATTGCAACTCAACAAGACTAAAGTGGTTTTTTCTTGAGATTTATTGGTACTAATGTCAGTACCACAATCACAAATATCCACAACAGAAGAATAGTTAGTGAAGTTAATGTAATGGCAAAACTGACTATTCTGATTAAAGAATAGACTTTCTCTAGTTTCAGTTCTACTGGGAAACCACTTTGGACTTTTTGCTTGAAACTGAAAGAAACTAAATTTTAACCTTGGGATTTGATGTCTAGTACTGTTTATTATTATAGGAGTACTGTATGCTATGGTTTATTCCAATTCAAAAGATCATTGTATTTTATCTTTATGTCACAACCAAAGAAAGTCGGCTATTATTTTTTTTCTATAGCTTTTTCACTTTTTGTCTGCACCACCCAATTTTTATTTCCCCCCTACTCTTTTCCTTGTTTCCTTTTATTTTTCTTGTACTTCGTATTTTTTTGAAATTCAATAAAGTTCTGTTAAAATGACATTGATCTAGTTGAAAAAGTAAGCAAATTATGTATGTGCTGTGCGGAAATATGATTCAGATCTTCATATATTTATTATTTGCCTATTTTTTATAAGGCAGGCACATAAGATACCTAAAATAATGAAATTTATGAAATGGATTGTGACTGTAATCCATGATGGCTAGTAAGGTAATGACGGATGAACTTATGTCTGTTGGTTTTACAAAAGTTTCAATGACAACAGAAATTTAATAGGGAAGGAGCAACCAAAAGATTGGGGTGGTTGAATGTTTTCATATAGAGATAGGAATAGATGGAGCTTCAAAATTAATATCAGAGTGTTTTAATTTTTGTGTGTGTTATTGAATTTAAAATAATGTTCCCAAAATAAAAGCAACAGAAAAATCATATCATGTGAAGAAGATCCTTAATTTGTTCCTATTTTAATTGACTTTTCCAACACTTTAATAGATCAGACCTCCTAATTATTTATTATATATTAAATTGTAACCTTTACTGAAATTAGCTGATTACTGCTTTCTTGATAACATAAGAATATGCAATAGATTCTGAAAAATTTCTTTTTTTCTATAGGAAGTCACATCCTACATTTTACAAACTTGTTGTTTAATGACATGGGGCTCCATTTTTGAAAGCAAGCTGTACTTGAATCACATTGCTATTGTATTGAATTCTTGTACTTAGATTTCTAAGAAGTTGTGAATTACTATCCCAGCTTTTTTCAGGACCATGGACATCACCCAGGAAAGACAAGTTTTGGCAGTCTGAGTGGATTCTAAAATTGCTAATTCACTTTATTTGCACATGTATATGTATTTAAAATATGTGGGGTTTTTTTTCTTTTTTTTTACAGACAGCCCTGGACTCTTGAACCATGTCCCTGTTGAAATTAAAATTCTTGATGTTAATGACAACCCTCCAGAGCTTGCCGGGGACTATGATGTCATTGTCTGTGAGAATGCAAAGCCCAGCCAGGTCAGTTGCTAATTACACACTTAAGGTAAAGTCTAAAAAAAAGATAAATGAACAAAAAGTCAGGGGTAGCAGTATAAACTGCTTCTTAAACAGCTGATCAGTTGTACAAAACCTGAGACAGAAGACTTAATTCATTTATGCATTTATATTAATATTCTGGCATATTAAAATCTTAATAATGTTACAACATTGAACAAAGTACTTGGCTAGAATATAATATAAAGGAGGTTTACTGCATCTTCATTGTTTGATTCCCTAAGTTTCCAATTTTATGCCTATTCTGCAAATGTATCAAGTGGGGGAAGGGGAAATGTGAGTTTCCTTGTGACAGTTTAAAAGGCTTGACAATATTCATAGTGAATGATAATGCATTTCCTTAAATGAATAGATATTTATATTAAAGTAATCTTCTGATGCAGGGACATAGATAGAGGTTCCTCATCCCCACCCTGCCAAACTCAAGCACAAACAGAGACCTAGGGCTTTCTTTCCCAGCTGGAACAATGTCTTACCCACAATTTGTCTTCACTTTATATGGGATAAAATGAACTGCATATAGAAGCTGTCAGATTTTTGCTCATGCTGCACTTCAGACCTAAGTTATAATTGGGGAAATAGCATAATCCCCAATGTTACTGTTTTTCTGATTTAATCATTTTGGCTGGCAATGCGTAAGTAAGTGGGTGGAAATCATGTCAACTGCTGTTGCACTGAATTAGCAAAAGCATCCAGAGACTGACATTGTGGGTGAAAAGACCTCATTTATGACTCTTCTCTGGAATGTGAATCTTCATCTCTTCAGAGTATATCACATTGGTTTCATTGTTCCAGTAGGTTTTTTTTTTCTGATTATACTGGAAAATAGAGTTTTCTACTCTGAGAACTTTCTATAATTCAACCAACCAATCAATCAATCAGAATAGAGCTGGAAGGAATCTTGGAGGTCTTCTAGTCCATCCCCCTGCTCAATCATGTGACCCTATGCCATTTCAGACAGGTAGCTTTCCAGTCTTTTCTTAAAAACCTCCAGTGATGAACCACCTACAACTTCTGAAGGCAAACTGTTCCATTGGTTAATTGTCCTCACTGTTAGGAAATTAATTCTCAATTCCAGGTAGCTTCTCTCCTTAGTTTCCATCCATTGTTTCTTTATCTGCCTTCTGGTACTTTGGAAAATAAGTTGATGACTTCTTCTTTGTGGCAGCCCCTCAAATACTAAAATCCTGCTATCATATCAATCCTAGCCCTTCTTTTCTATAGACTGGTCATAGCCAGTTTCTGCAACTGTTCTTCATACAACTTTGTCTCCAGGCCCTTAATCATCTTAGTTTCTCTTCTATGCACTTTTTCCTTAACAACGTTTTTGTAATGTGGTGACCAAAACTGGATGCATTATTCTAGGTGTGGTCTTACTAAGGATTTATAAAGCGGTACTAATACTTCACATCATTTTGATTCTATGCCTCTGTTTATAAAACCAAGTATTGTATTAACTTTTTTTGGCTGATGTTGCATACTGCTGGCTCATGTTTAAGTGATCATCCATTAGGATTCCAAGATCCCTCTTACAGTTACAGTTACAGTTACTTACTGGTAAATACTGAGGGCATTTACCAGAATTCAAACCTAACTTGAAGACACAAATGCATTTGGAATAAATGCCCCAATTATTCATGAACCAAATCTTAATTTCATGGGACACACTTTATTTAAAAAGAGTGAATAGTGATAATGGTTAGTCCATATTTTAAGAGAAGATTGAAATGACATTGCAATCTCAAGCAAGTCAAAAAAGTATTAATAAGATTTATACAACCTATTTGGAGCAGTTTCAAATCCTATCAATTATGCAGCCATCAAGCTGCCTTACAAAGTGGTATGTTTCCCTTCACTGGAGGTTTTCAATAAATAGTCATAAATAAAATAAATATTTTTCTGTTCAGCTATTAATGTAAATAGTAATAGCACTTAGACCTATATACTGGTCCACAGTGCTTTATAGCACTCTCTGTACAGTTTACAGTATCAACATTTTGTCCACAACTATCTGGATCTTCATTTTACTGACCTCAGAAGGCTGAGTCAACCTTGAGCTGATCAGGATTGAACTCCTGGCTGTGGGCAGAGTTAGCCTGCAATACTGTATTATAACCACTGTGCCACCATGGGTCTACAATGTTCAGAAAATAAATGAATAAATCTGAGTGCTGATGTTGTGTTTAGTTCATTTCATGATATTGCTTAAATGCTGTCCTTTCCAAATAAATCTAACAGACTCATAAATGACACCAGCCAAGTATAAAATGATATACTTGGCACTAGCTCAGATTAATACTATATCAACAAGCTGAGCTTACATGATCTTACTGAATTCTGTTAAAATTAAAATCCAATTCAAAGTTACTTAGACTCTCTATCCTATGTTCTTTCCAGGTTATTCAGACGATCAGTGCCACTGACAGAGATGACATTACAGAAGGGCGAAGTTTCCATTTTGCTCTGGATGACAATTTTTCTTTGAATCCCAACTTTACATTAAAGGACAATGAAGGTAAATCAAAAACATAACTGACTAGACAGGTCTCTATGTTTGACTTCAGTGTCTCATTGAACAGAATCACTTTTGCCAATGTGCAAAAATCATAGTCAGTCAGGATAACAGTGTTTTATAACAAAGTGTGCCAGTCATACTTTTTGATTAGCAAGCAAACTATATCCAGTAATCATCTGGGGAAAAATAACCTTGCCATTTTTCTACTCTTAACTATATATTGTTGTATTTCTCATTCAGGCTGTATACAGTTTAAAATATTTTACAGTGATTTCCTGGAACTATGAAGCTTCAATTTTAGTTAAAGACGTCCATCGTAATGGCAGATCTTAGTGGTTTTATTGTCTCTGTGAAAGACCAGAATTATGAAAAAGGGGAAAATATAGCTTCTTATGTTATACCAGTAGTAAAAGTACATAAAATTGTAAAATATTAGCAGAGTTCATTTTCAGCTGAAAAATCCATTCAGTAAAATGGCTATGATAAGGATAAAGCCTTGTTTTCTACTAATCTAAAACACTAAATGACTAATTGTTGGTGAATGTACTTTAATAGAATATCATAATAGAAACTAAATCCTTTCCCTGCAAGCTTTAGAAAGATAATTCTTAAATTGAAGGCAGTGTAAGAATTTCATAAATGGGATATGTCATATTTGGCCCTTAAATTTGTCTATTTTAAATGCATGATGTTTCTGATTTGTTCAATAACATATCTTTTCTTGTTGCATAAGCTTCTATAAAATTTTCATGCTTCTAGGAAAACAACATGACCTTGTACAAATCAATACACCAAGTAGTACCTAACAACCTTGGCTGAACTTAGAAACAACAGTCTTTGTTAAGAATTGAATGGAGAACCACCTCGAAACTTCCAGGAATGTTGGCTGAATTGTAATTTTTTTAAAAATTGGAAGTTTAAAAACATCCTAGAAGAAGCCAGATTATTACTGCTAGGAAATTACATAAATACAGTCTCTAGCAGCTGGCTTTAGCCCAGCCCAGAAGTAATATCTGATCATCCTTGGTTGTTCTGTAAAAGTTAACTAAGCTTGGATCTTATTATTAGATGGAAAGGTGACAACCCAGAAATTTCAGGGCTTAGATTAGACTGAGAAATCAAAACAACCAAAGAAACCAACATCGTCCTGGAAAAAAATAATGCAAACCATTTCCACTTTTGGATGTGAACATTTCACATCCAAACATTAAGAATCTGAACATGCAATCATCTAATGCAATGATAAGACTTTAACTTTTGAAACAAGAATGTTACTGCATTCATGGTGGGTAGCCAAACAGGGGATATTTGCAATTAAATGCAGAGTGTACATGAGATTTACAGTTGTATTGTTTGTGTGCTTGCTTTGTTTCTTTGAATCCATGTTTTTGTCATAGTTTTAGATTCTTTGGGGCAAGAGCCAATTAGCCTTAAAAATGTTTCTGACATGTTGAGAAGCTGACATGTGAAATGGGAAATTTAAAAGGTTTCCCCTTTAAAGGAATGTACTGGAGAAAACAATTGAAAAGCATACTGATAGAGAGAAGTGGAAACAATTCTGGGAGTTAGCTTCTTTTACTTTATTAGGAATTCACTGCTGTTGCCCACTGCTATTTAATGCTGGCCTCTTTGTTTTTCAGTAATGCAATCTTCTTGGCCTTGAAGAGGCCTCTCAGCAAGTACCAAATATATTAGATTTCCACCTCTTTAGGGCAGAGAGAAATGTCCACTCTCAAAGGGGACAATTGGATCTTAGAAGATGCCTTCCAGCTCCTGTGGAAACCTCAAAGCCCATGATCTTTTAGCATCAGTTTTTAAAACCAGAGAGCAATTTTGGTTTTAATTTTGCAATTTTTTAATTGCAATTTTTAATTGCAATTTTGCAATTTTTCATGTGCATTGCAGAAAAATAGGATTTGTAGTCCTCAGATTTTTTTTTTAACATGTAGAATAATCTGACCTACTTTTAGACCTGGTTCCAATGGGAGCAGAAGTGAGGAAAGTCTAAAATAAGACATGTTTCTTTTTCCTCATTTTTATCCTGTTGATATGGCCCAACTCTACCTCTAATTTCAGAACATCTCCCTATTTGTTTCTTTATTTATTTAGAAAGGAAAAAAAGATTTAAAAATACAGAGCAATGACAAAATACTAATATCACATGGAAGAGTTTATAGAATTACATAAGTTTTTTTAAAAAAGTAGAAACTATTCATTATATTTTTTAAAATGTCACTTTTGTCCTTACAGAGCAGCTTGGACTAAAAACAAATACAAAGACACTTTCTTGACAGTTTAACATTTTTTAGGATTTTCAAAACTCTTGTATCTAATATTAGTAAAATAAAATTTTAGACCACCTGAGAGATCTGTATAATGAAAAATAGAATTAAAGAGTTTGAAACTCTTATTTTAAGGAAACTCTAATGCCAGATAGCAAGCCATATATGGAATTGGAGTCCATAAGCAATTTACAGCTCATTTTGTAGGTGTATAAGATTTAGTAATCAATACCTACCACCACCACAATCCAAAAAGTGGTAGAAAATGAAATGCTCCACCATTTGTAGGTAGCAATAATTTACTTTTCCCCAAATGTCTTTTTATAGCTCTCTGTAAAGGTAGTAAGGAGGGATAGTCTAGAAGATATCCAAGATTTAGTTCTTTCCATGTTGGGAGTTAGGGGCATCACTGAGAAGTCTTAAGACTGGGTTCACTGAAGGTAGCATTCCCTTAGTAGCAGCACCCTCAACAAGCCTTTCTCTCCCAATTCTTACTGTACAGAGATATTCACTTTGTAGAAAATTGTTACAGAATAAGAAAACTTGGAAGCAAATTTGAAAGAGGTACATTCTCCTCCACTTAAGGTGATAGCTGCCTTTTTCTTTGAACCCTCACGACTCCATTAATTTTGCCCAGCTCATTCAACAGTTAAAAATCATTTGGGTAACTATTTGTAGAGTGATGCAGATGCCTTGGAGGAAATATTCAGAAACCATTACTGAAATTAGAAGACAGAAACCTTCTTTTAGCCATGAAAAAGGAGATAGGAAGATCAGTTTGGCCCCATCTAACTCTGCAGAGTAAAAGAATGAGGGAAGGTAAAACACAAACAAATTTGCAAATTTCTGTTCCTCAGAATCTCTCAATTAAGTATTGTTTTTGTCTTCCTATGCAATTGGTTTCTTGATCTGGTCAACTTTGTAGTGTTATAAATGCTTGAGACAAAAAGGAATTGTTCAGAAAATTGTTTTCCATTTACACATCTAACTGTTTGAATCTTGAACCTATGTCATACTGAAAAACAATGAACATTTATTTGCTTGAAAGAATGGTGGGAAGAAGATCATAAGGAAACTCTGGAACCAGGAAAGAATTGCCATTTCCTATTTAAGCAATATTATATAAATAGACTTAAACATACACTGTTATTATCTTTATAGAAAATTAGACTCATTGACATAATTCCAACAGATTTCAGTAACTTCCATCTAAAGGATGCTCCAATGGAACAGCTTGCCCTTGGAAGTTGTGGGAGCACCATCACTTGAGACTTTCAAAAAGAGATTGGACTCCCATCTGTCAGAAATGGTGTAGGGTCTCCTGCTTGGGCAGGAGGTTGGACTAGAAGACTTACAAGATCCCTTCCAACTCTGATTATCTGTTATCTGTTAAAGGAACTGATTTTTCTTTTAAATACTAAAGTAACTGAATTGCAATCTGAAGAAGTCTTTGGCAGTATCTCTATTTTATGAACACTATTAGCCCAATTCTTAGATATCCAAAAGATATTGACTCTTGAGAACAACTGTGTCATTTAGAAAAATAAGTACATTCATTTGCATTAGCATTTTTGCATCTTTATACATCTATCGGTTTTAAATTGACCATCCTATCAAAAAGAACTTTTGGTAGTTCCCTGGGTGTTGTCTTAAAATCTTTCTCGAAAGTTCTGTCCTTCCGGGGCAAATTATATCATTCCAGTAACCCATTAAATACCAATTTTCTTATAGTAAGTTCATTAAGATATCCATAAATCCTTTGAAAAAGGTATCTGTGTCTTCATTTGGTGCATCAATTCCTATTATCAAAGTATTGGCCCTTTGAGTTGTAATTGGGAGTTTATCTGCAAACAATTCTATTTTCTTTTTTAATTCCCACTGAAATAAATTCTTCATTCTAATTTTTGAAAATAAAATGTTTGATATTTTCTAATCTGTATTCCTTGCATCTTGTTTCATTTTTGAAATAGTGAATAGTTTTCTTTTTAAAGAATGATTTGCTTTATTTATATTCCACTTTAGGCATTTATAATCCATATTTATGCCAAAGTTTTAGAAAAGTCAATAACTGTAGCACCTAGCATGGTTGTCTCCTCCTTAGTTTCTTGTTTGTAGCTGTTCAGAGTCAAGTGAATATGCCTTTTTATATTATAAAGCTGAAATAATACTTCATTACAGGTGTACATTTAATGACTTGACTTTAGATTGTGGTATCTATAGTAACAAGTGCTTGACTTTGTTTCCACAGGATCACATTTTTACATATATGCTGACAGTGTATAATCATTCATACATTCCTAAAAAGTGTTAAGAAGAGAACATTGGTAGAATAAGAGTGAAAAAATAGATTTTATTGATGTGCTAAACTGTTTCAAGTTGGAAAAAGCTATTTTGCATTTCAGCCAGGCTTTTTCAGATACTTTGAAAAGTTTTAAGCTGAAAATAATATCCAAAGTAAGCAAAAACGTCCATTTCAAACTGAAATAACTGTTTTAAACTTGATAACAGACATTTTAAAATGATGCATAACCATTATTTTGGGTAAAGCACAGGAAATGATAACCAAAGCATAGACAGATAGAGGATAGATAGATTATAAATAAATATGAACATTTGAGAGGAAATATATCAGCAGAAGGAGAAAAGAATTGGGTGAATAAACAAGGGATTTTCTAGTATTCCAATAAGTTATTAAAAACAACCAATCACTTACAAGCATTTAAAAATCACCATTAAACTTTATGCGGAATACCAATATCAAGAGCAACATACAACACAGTATGAATCATAAAATGAAATAAGTATTAACATAC